ATGTATGTATGTATGTATGTATGTATGTATGTATGTATGTATGTGTGTATGTATGTATGTATATATCTGTGTATCCGTGTGTGTGTGCGTGTCTGTTCGGATATATCAACTCGGCAGCCAGGCAAGCTTTCGCGCTGAAATTTTGCCATTGGGTTCTCCGGCCAAGTACCACTCCAGGACCGCGGCATCAACCCACATGCACATCTGGATCCCGAGTGCGAGCACGTGAAAGTTTTTTTGTCGGGAAAATCGCCAACTCGAGAACTAGAGGGACCGGGAGGATGGGGAGGAGAGGGGAGAGGGGAAGAGGGAGGGCTGAAATCCTGAGGGGATGTTCCTAGTCCTCATACAACTTAAAGATTTCAAATTCAGCCCCCAAGTGCCGTGCTTGTCACGTACGGCCTCGTACGAGTTTTTTGCGGGAATGTTGTCAACTCGGAACTAGAGAAGCTAGGGAGCTGAAATCTTGGCGTAATGTTTCCAGCCCAAGTACCACGTAGTTACACAATTAACTTCTTGGACCAGTATGTCAGAAATTCTAGTTACTGGCATTCCAAACGTTCTCACTACAGCACGAAATACTGCAAAAACGCATGATCGCACGGGCTCGTTTGGTGCACGTCACCAATGATTTTTGCTCTTCGTCCCCCCTCCATTACTTTACCCCTTGTCGTTGGCTGAGGAGTTTCTTCTGTTGTAGATGAAACAATAAAAAGCCAGCTTGTCGCTCGAGCTGTGGTCTTGGCTTTAGCGTTTAACTTTTCTGACTACGCAACACGTGTAATTGCAGCTTGTGGACCATCTTGGTTGGACGCATATTTCGACCAATTTGCGGAATCAGATGATCATCAAATTCCGCTACGACTACCGACCTTTCTAAATAATTTTGTATCTGTGATCCTAATTGTTTTTTTTTTTTAACTCCTTGACTGAAATCACCGAAGATGGTCCTGCGAATTTGTGCCAGTTCTTGAATGTGCTTACCATGCTTTTCCAACGCAGCAAAATTCCAACTAACGGCCGATTTTATGTGTCTTGTTTGTTTCAAATTTATATTTAAAAGGACGAAAGTGAGCGAAGGTAGCAGAAAAATACTTTTATCTGTGAACTTTTGACTAACACTGAGAATTATAGGGTCAAGAGCAGCTCGAAAGCTAGCTCTAGATTAAAGGGCTTGGCATAACTGCAGCGAATATGTGAGAGCAATATCACTAACGTGGGACTGCCCCAAGATTATCCGGCTTTTTTCGTGGGTGAGGGGGTGGGGCAGCCTTAATTTATCCCAGATAAACTTCATTATATTAATGAAATTTTCGCTTTTCAGTGGAAGAAGCCCAGTCAGTTCCCAGCGCACATTAACACACTAGACTTAGGGAGCTATCATCATTATCAACTTATCATTGCTTTTTTTGTAAATCACTCTTGTTTTAGCTACCGAATGCTGTTGACACATCTTATCAGTGCATTTAGGCCGCAAAAAGGGCGCTGTTTTTTTTGGTTGTTTGTTAATTGTGCTTATCAAACCTCGTAATTTTGTACTTTTTTTTTCTTGTTTTTTGTAGATATCACTGTAATGCTTTCCTTTTTTTGTTTGTCATTTCTCGTATCCGTGCCTTTCGCGGACAAAATCGAAATTTTGCTAAACTTATAATGCCTGTTAGTGAACAGATTTTTAAGATTTTTAGCGTAAAATGCGCATACTCAAAAGCAATATGATACGAAACTTGTTCACAGACAAATGTCCTTCCCTCCGTTTCCTTCAGTCCTTTTCCTGCGCCCCACCGTCTGTGGACTGCGCGAAAATTGACATTTTTAGGGAATTTACGTTCCCTTCTTTGCCTGGGATAGGTTGTCTGTATCCATGAACATTCTGAGTAGTAACAACCGCACCTCAGATTTATTGATATTATCTTCGTGTTGCAATGTGTCTTAGATTATAGAAAGTCCGCATTTCTTACTATTAATTGTCGTTGTGTGTAACAGGCAACAGAAGTTTTAGTAATTGTGAAAAATGGCTGTTTTTGTGTGTAAACGAATGAGATCTAATGAACAATTTGTTTCAATCACCTTCAACTAAAGTTACTTGGTTTTATACTTTTTGCGATGAATGGAAAGTGTGCTTAATTGAAATCGTTTGGCATAATTAGAGTCGCTTCCCGCTGCTAAAAGTTTTGCTGTTGTGAGTGATTTTTTGAATGCTCTTCAAAGAAAACTTCGAGTGTTGGAGACGTTGAACTTTCCAACTCGAGAATGACATAATTCACAATCCTCAGTTCAGAATTTTAGTGCGAAATATATGGATCAAACTTAAATCAAATTAAGATATTGCTGAGTGCTGTGCGACGCCGAATTTTCCAGAACGTCGTCGAACTTCCTAGTAACTTCAGGCGCAAATGGGACTGAATTGCTAACTGTAATCCACTATCCAACAGTTTAAGTCTAAAATTGGCGTCGAAAATGAGAACAATGCATACTTTTGTAATTTTCAGCAAGAAATACCCAGCAATTGGAAGATATTACCAAGGTCGAAGGGAGTCATACGTGGTTCTCCCCAGTCACACGTGGTTCTCATGTCGGCCTCGTGAAACTTTTTTGGCGGGTAATTGACTAACTCGGGAACCAGAAAAGCTGGGAGGCTAAAATTCTAAAGGATATTCTTAGCCTGCATACAACTTAAAAATTCCAAACCTAGGCCCCAAGTGTGCTTCTAGGTCACGTGCGGCCCTGTGAAAGTTTTGGCGGGAAAACTGCTAACCCGAGAACTAGAAAAGTTGGGAGGCTCAGATTCGGAGAATATTCCCCGTCCAAATAAAACTTAAATCTTCAGATTCAGTCTCCATTTACGCGTGATTTTCGCGTATGGGCAATTAAATTTCTGGCGGGAAAATTACTCATTGAACAGTTGGGTTACTTTCAAAAAACACCGCTACACGGAAACTGAAACTTAAATCTTCAAATTCGGCCTTCATTTACGCGTGATTCTCGTGTACGGGCAATTAAATTTCTGGCACTCACTGAACAGTTGGGTTACTTTCAAAAAACACCGCTACACGGAAATAGTTTATTTCTTTTTATGTAAAATTTACGATGATTTTCGGCATTAAGCACACACGGTGGGTGTGAAGAAACAACCGTTTATGCAGTTAACTCAATTCAAGTTTTGTGCAAGAACGCATGATCGCACCGGCTCGCCTGGTGCGTTCCAGCCTGGGTCCACAAAGCGAGCATTTACCGGAAAAACGACCAAACTTGCAAAAAACCGCTAACCATGCACCTGGATGCCCGTGCAGCTCCACAGTGCACCACCTTCATCCCAACTGACGCTCTTCCTCCTGCATGCCGAAAAGGATCAAAACACGGCCAGCATGAGCCCAAGTGTTAGACTACAGCGTACGGATCATCCTTGCTCAAAGAGACCTGCGAGTCTAGTGCAAAAACGCATGGTCGCACCGGAGAGCCTGGTGTGTTCCAACCTGGGTTTAAAAACTTGAAACGGCCCTCCTACTCAGGCTGTTTCGTCAAATTTCCCTCTCCTGCTGTAGTACGCCAAGCCGAGTATAGCAATTCTGGACGAAAGAAGCAATTTTTTTTAAGCTGTCAGCACAAATAAGAACCCAGGCTGGATCACACAGGTGAGCCCGTGCGATCATGCGCTTTTGCACCAAACTTGACATAATTAGGTTAGTTGCACGAACGGTTATTTCTCACACCTACCTTGTGCGCTCATTACCATCGTAAACAACTCCCGTTTAACGGCCGTTTTAATTTGAAAGTGACTAAGCTGTTCAATTACACGAGAACCACGCATGCCTGGAGGCTAAATTTGGTAATTTCAAGTCATACATGGGCTGAGAACATTCCCTAAAAATTTCGCCCTTCCAGCTTTGCTAGTTCCCGAGTTACCCATTTTTCCGCCAAAAGAGTTTCACGGGACCGCACGTGAAAACCACGTATGACTGGGGGCTGAATTTGACAAATTTTATCTGTACATGTGCTAAGAATATTCTCTAAAAATTTAGCCTCCCAGCTTTCCTGGTTCTTGAGTTAGTCATTTTCGCGCCAAAAATTTTCGTGACAACCACGGATCCCTGGGGGCTGAAGTCGATAAATTTAAGTTGTACATGTGCTGGGAACATTCCTTGAAAATTTCACCTTCCAGTATTCCTGGTTCCTGAGTTAGCCATTTTGCCGCCAAAAATTCTCTCAGGGCCGTATGTGAATGTACATGCACAATTAGGGGCTGAATTTGATAATTTTATGTTGCACTTGCGTTGGGAACATTAACTGGGAATTTCAGCTCTCTAGCTTTCCTGGTTCTCGAGTTAGCGGTTTTCGCGTTAGGAGACCTCATGCGGCCATACGTGAGAACCACACATACCTGGGAGCTGAATTTGAAATCTTTGTGTTCTTTGTAGATGGGGGAAATAACCTCAAAATTTCAGCTTTCTAACTTTTCTTGTGCCCGAGTTAGCGATTCCCCTGCTAAAATATTCACCCTCTTGTACGTGGGGCCCAGGCTTGCATGAGGGTTGGTACCACTGTCCTGGGGTGGCAATTGGCCGGAGAACCTACCGGCAAAATTTTGGCGAAGGAGCATGCTTGGGTGCCGAGTTGAAATATCCGGACACACACACACACACACACACACACAAACACACATACACACACAGCATCGTCACAATATGCGTTTTTGTGCGTTTTTTGCAGCTATGCAATGCGAACCCAGGCTGGAACGCACCAGGCGGGCCGGTGCGATTATGCGTTTTTGCACTTTTCATGCCGTAGCAAGATCGCAAGGGATCACAGTAGCTAACCCCGTGACATAGCGGCCCTCGAAGTTCGGGAAGTTAACTGCGCAGCTATGTGGTATGTCAGTTGTAGATGTCGACTTCAGTGATCCGGCAAATGGAAAGTTGCTTGTCTGCAAAAAAGGCCGCACTAGA